ATACTCGAGCTCCGTTGCTAGAATTGCTCAGGAGACCCGGGCGCTGGGCGCTGGTCACGCTGAGCCGGGCGGCGGGCAGCCTGCGCCCCGCTCAGCCGGCCCGTTCTGCAGGCGGCCATCGTGCGCATCATGAAGATGAGGAAGGTCCTGAAGCACCAGCAGCTCCTCGGCGAGGTCCTCACCCAGCTGTCCTCCCGGTTCAAGCCCCGGGTGCCGGTGATCAAGGTGTGCGGCCGCGGGCGGGGGGCGGGCGCGGCCCTGTAGCCGTGCTGGAACGCGCGCTGAGGGGCGTGCGCAGCTCGGTGGTTTGCAGCGGTAAACGGGTAAACGGCCTCGGTCAGGGACGCAGGTAGAAGTAGGGCTGCCAGCGCTCCGGAAGGCCCGCGGCGCGCCAGCCCCGGATGAGCGCTAAGGACACGCGTGGTGCTGTCGCACCGTCCCTGGGGTGCAGTGTCCGCCGTGACTCGGTCCTTCGCGCCACCTCTCAGGTGTTCCGCTGGGAGCGCACCGCCGAGTCCATGCGGCGCGCTTTGGCGCCTGCGTCTTGGGGCCTGTGAGAAACAGGACTCGGTGGCACCCGCCTCCTGGAGAGCTCCTGGGTCGCTCCCGGCCAGGGCGAGGGCGGGCTGGCAGTGCACGCCAGGCAGGCAGCGCGTCCCCGCCTGTCGCCTGTGTGCTCCTGGCTCCCTAAGGAGTCGTCCTGCTTCGACAGCCGGCCTTGGGTGCGAGGGGAGGTTCGGCCCGAGCCAGGGGCTGGCCGGCGGCCGTGGGCAGCTCAGCAGGCTGGCCGAGGGGTGCCATTCGGGAAGGCAGTGCCTGCTGCCCAGGCAGTGCAGCCCAGGCTGCGTGGCTGTGGAGAGCCCGGGTGCGGGTGACCGGCCTGTTCTGATGACTGTGTTTTCTTTTCTTCCCCCTCCTTTTTCAAAACTAATGCCCAGAAATGCATCGACATTCTGATCGAGAAGGAATATTTAGAGCGAGTGGATGGGGAGAAGGACACCTACAGCTACTTGGCCTGACCTCGAGGAGGGTCTGAGCGGCCCGGCAGGTGGGCTGGCGGGAGAGCAGGGACAGCTCGCCAAGCAGCCGCCTGCCGCATGCAGACCTTTTTAACTCTGAGACCAGGAGCCACCACTGGCCTCAGCCTCCCAGCAGAACTGCTCAGGACTGATACATTTCAAGTCTGTACATACGGACACCGACGCCATTTAACCTAACTTAAGAACAGAGGGCTGACCCTGCGCGAGGGCTGCATGCTACTGCATCTAAATCAATACATCGGCCACCTGTCTGCGCTGTCGTCGGGCAGCGCCTGCAACGTCGGCAGCACTTTGGAGGAAGTCTGAACGGACCCGCGTGTAATCTGCTATGGAAACCATTTGTATAGTGTGTTTCATTTTTTAATGTGTGAAAATAAAGAAAATTAAAGGATTTCTGTACAAGTCGCATTGGTTGTTTTAAGCTTTACTAATTTCCGTATGTAAATAAAGGGTGAAACGGTTGTGCGGTTTTCCATCCCCGGGGTCTTCCTGGAGCCGGAGAGGCTACGCGGAGATCCCCGGCTTCGCCTGCGGCCCGCGCGCTCCTCTGCCTCCCAGCTGGCTGCTGAGATGCAGCTCAGGGACTCGGGGCAGCGCGAGCCTCGGCCCCAGCCCGGCCTGCTGACGCTGAAAGCACTGATGTGTCCGTCCTGCCACCCTGGGCAGGAAAGCGCTGTCCCCTTCGACGGGAGGAAGCAGGCAGTGGGCAAGGGGCCGTGCTGGCACTGTGAGCAGAGGGGCTGGGAGTCTGTAGCGCTCCCTCAGATCCTGGCTTCCTCTGCCTGTGTAGTGTGACTGTCACCCACCAAGGCCAGTGCTCACCTGGGGTTAATGGCCAGAGAGGTCAGAAACAAGGTAGTGCTGATTTTTACATTCCATCAGCAACTTCACGGCTGAACAAATTTCAAGTGGGGTCATCAGAGCTGGGCTTTGCACGCACTCAGACCAGCTGAGGGTGCACTGCGGATCACCAAGTCCGAAGGCCAAGAGCAGGCATGAGCCTAGCGGCCCGCAGTGTGCACTTGGCCACTTCACCACTACCCTGGGGACCAGCAGCCAGGCTCCCTGAACTATAGGGATGGTAAGAGCAGAGCAGCAGGTTCCTGAAATGTAAGTTATTTTCTACACTGTTCCTTAACACCGGCACCTAACTTCCACTGTAAGAAACTTAAGTCTTGGGGCTGGGCATGGAGACACTTGAAGGCCAGCCCGAACTGCATAGTGAAACCCTGTCTCAAAAACAGACCAAGAAAGAAAAACAACTTGGGCTTTACCATACCTGGGAACAGCCCGGTGGACTCCCACCTGCGGGCTGTCACACTCAGTCTGAGCGCCCCTGAAGAACACAGTTGCATCAGCCGGGGAAGGGCAGCTTTGATTGGCAGGTGAAGGTGTGCACTCAGGAATCACGGGCCGAGGACACCAGCCTCCGGGCATCTGCGTTCTGGGCGGCCTCTGGGGGGGCGCCTCTCACCGCCTCTGCCCTTTACTCAGCAGCTGGGTGGCTCCAGTGCCCAGAGGGCCGGGGCTGGAGCCTGTGGCAGAGCAAGACACCGCTCAGACCCGGGGCGGCCCCGATTTGCTTAGAGGCACAGCTCTTACGTGACCTTCCTTCCTTGTCCAACCCGGAGAGACCACCTCACCGCCATCCCGCCCGCCGACCCAGCTCCTGTCCAGTGTGCCAGTGCCCCCCGGGCAGGTAAGCACAGACCTAGATGGAGCCCTCACTGGGCTCGTTGCTCTTTTGTGTTTTGGGGCGTCTGTAATTCAGCTGGCCTCAGACGCGGGGCGATCGATGCTCCTGCATCAGCTTCCCGTGTGCTGGGGTTGCAGGCACGCGCCCCGCCGCCTGCCCAAACTAGGGTTATTTCTAATAGGCGGTGACTGTACACACTCCCACTCATTCCAGGGAAATGCAACGCCGCAGAGGCGCTTTCCTCCTCCCGGGGGCACTCGCCCTTCCGCACTTCACGGGGACACGGTGAGGGCGGGAGACGAAACGGGCCAGTCCCAAGAAGCGAGCGGATGACTCACGCTACTGTTCCTGCCGTACAGGTTACACGAGACCTGGATGGGAAGGGGCCGACCGGCAGCGCCTTCACCTCCCGGAGGGCCCAGCTGCACCGGCGTCCGCCTCTGGTGTGGCTCGCACGCAGCCTGGGATCTGACCGCGGCCTTGCGCCTTGAGGGGATGGCACGTGCTGCTCAGAAAGCCGCACTTTGGGGACGCCGGGGAAGAGGGCACGGGGAAGAGCACCCTTCGGGGGCGTCTGCGAAGTCTGCCCTGCAGCAGGCAGGCACCAGCCTTGCCCAGGACGACGGCCGCAGCTCTGCTGTGTGAGCAGGGGCAGGGCGACACCGAGCCGAGCCTCCCCGGCCCTCCCGCACCGTGAGGCCATCTTGGGACAAGTGACCTGAGCCACTGCGGATGCAGCTGCATGCTCTTGGGCTGAACACCTGCCCGCTCGGCCAAGGGGCGGGACCGGAACCCAGGGCGTAGCACTGCTGTCAGGCCGCAGGGGAACAGCGCGACAGCAGAGCGCTGCTGGGGAGCCGACCCTGGCCTGAGTGGCCGCGCCCTGTGCGTGAGGAGCCCCGGGGAGGGCCGCGAGCTGGCAAGCCAGAGGGGCTGCGTAAACCGAAACTTGAGCCCGCTGTTAGAGGCAGCGGGGCCCGGCCGGGTTTCTAGCTGGTATGTGGGTACCCGCAGCGGCGGCCTTGTGTACCTGGCGTGCTGGGGTCCCCCCCCTGCTCTGAGACTCTGTGGGCGTTGTCATGGGTGCGGTGCGGGCAGCCCATCTCCGGGGGCCTTGGACAGGGAGAGTGGACAGGGCTCGCTAGTCTTGGGTCACAGCGTGGCCACCAGGCCCAAGCCACAGGGCCGTGTGAGAGCCCGTCCTCAAGAAGACACTCCCCTAGCTGGGCGCTCCTCCGGAAACCGCCGCCGCCTCCTAACCGCTGTGTGGCCTACCGGAGTCAGGGCAGGGTGCTGGGAAGAGCTTGGCGCCTGCCACCCTGCCTATGGCAAGCAGCCTGGTGTCCGTCCGCAGGCCGCCGCAAGTCACACGGTGTCCTACGGACTCACCGCGGTGTTGGCATCAAGGTGGCGACAGTGAGGCGGAGTCCGTGCTGTCACGTACGAGCGTCGGCCCACGACTGCCCGGTAATGGCTGCAGGCGCTGCACTGAGCTGAATCGTGATTTGCAGAGAAGCAGCACAACACCCAGCTGACTCTGACAGCGTCCCCACTAGCAGGGCCCTTAGCTGACTCAGTAAGCACAAGTTCAAGTACACTTTATTCAAAGTTGGAAAATGTACCATACTGCATTATTGCAAAGATTCACTGGTACAAAACACTTTGCAGCTGGTGAGAAGGCAATAAAAAGTTGATTTTTAAACTCGTTACTATAAATTATTGTTACAGTACTTCGCAAATTCAGAACTTCAAACTGCATTTTCTTTTCTACGTTGCCCACAGTACTCGAGGTTCCTGAAGCTAAGGCAGCTGTTCGGAGGAAGGGGAGGAGGAGGTAGCAGTCAGGGGATTTCCATCTCCCGCTCGATGCCCACGTACTTCAGGGCGTCGGCCTGGCTGTATCTGAAAGGACAGGAGAAAGGCGTGAGCCCGCGTCACACAGCGGAGCACGCCCGCGGGGCCCGACAAGCCGCACCCAGCGCTCGTCTGGTTGCTGTCAGCTGGCGAAGGCGCTGTCTGTGCCACGTCAGCAAACTGCCCACAGCGCAGCTGCCACAGAGAAAGGCGCTGAGCGCAGCACCCGCTGAGGGCTGCGGGAACCCCAGCTGGGAAGGAGCGGAGGGCCCCGCTCGCTGTCACCCAGTCCTAGCCATCCACAGTGGCTGCCAGTAAAACCGAGCCTGCAACAACTTTTCCCAGAGTGCGGAAGCTGTTCTGAGGCTCACAAGTTCAAGCCCCACCGGGGGAATGCGGCAATTTAGCAAGACGCTGTCTCAACACTAAAACAAAAAACTTCGGATGGGGTATACACTTAGCCACAGGAATTGTTGGAAAACCTCACCTGGGCACGTTTAAACAGACACCCACATACCGTGAGTCCCCGACGTATGCACAAGTTCTGTCTGAGAACTGCTTTAAGTCAGGTTTGTTCATAAGCTGACCCGTGAGAGCTGGCAAGTGGAACGCTGGCGAGTTGGGGACTAGTCTGTCACATTTACCCCACAGAGCCTGGTGCCTATCCGCGTAACTACCATCACTGGCCTCGTCCCCAGCACTGCGGTGACCTCCTGTCTCGGTGCCCAGCTCTGAACACGCGGAACAATGACGTGTGAGGCTGAGGCCCCGCTCGGTGCAGAGCAGCGCCCAGCACGTTCAAGGCCCTGAGCCCGATCCCTAGTACCGTGAACAAAGACACTGGTGTAAGTCCCTCAGTGAAGATGACCCAGGGTCGCTGACAGTGACAGAGGGTTCAGGATAGGACCGTGCCTCAGTGTACTGCAACTGTGCTGGTCAGCCATTGTCCGAGTCCCCTGCCACTCAGCAGCACAAGAAACGGGCTTTCATTATCTCCCCAAAACAAGCAGCACTTGTGTACCTGGAGAGCACAGCAGCTACACTGCCAGGGTGGAAGCGGCCCCACAGCAGAGCTGACCACACGGCTCACAGCCCCAGGACGGCCCTGGAGACGCACTGTACCAACCTGTAATCGAAGAACAGCTCCTCACCGGTCTGGATGGCTCTCTTCGCAAAGATGCCGATCCTGTGGTCGCCGTTCACCATCATGACTGCAGGGGACATGGGCAGCACTAGCCAGCAGCCCACCACGCAGGCCCAGCGCCCAGCCCGTCCCCACGGCAGCGACCCCACCCCGCACGCGGGTCTGCTCTCACTGGGCGCAGAGGATTTTTGCTGCCAAGCTGTGGTTCCGACTCCTCAATACCCACCTTTTGCATAGCAGTTCGGATTTACTGAGTGATTCGCAAAACGAATTTTGTTACCCTTACGGGTTGCATCCACCACAAAATCTAAAGAGGAAAACAAGCACAGTCCAGTGGGTGACTTAGCACAAATACACCTAGTTCAGGGTTTGACTTCACAGCAAACCAGGCAGTCAGCTTCGCTCAGTACAAAATGCCACTTGGAAGAAAACACTGCTGTTCTAGGTGAAAATTATTCCTTGCTAATTTAAGATCACTGCTTGTCTCAAATGCTATTAATTTATCAGTATAAATATACACTGCTAAGCAAAATACAGCCAAAAGGAATGATTCCTCCGAACATCAAAAACAGGCACTCCCACTGGGCGTAGTGGCGCACACTTGTGCTCCCCGCGCTCGGGAGGAGGAAGCGGAGCCTTCAAGGCCAGCCTGAACTGAATAGTGAACCTGTCTCAGGAACAAAAAAAAAACCAAAAAGGCATTTTCACATTTTTATGGAACAAGCACACACCTCCATGTGGGCCCTGCACTGCCAAGTCAGCCCCTGGGATGGGGCTGCAAGAAACACGGCCTTCTCTCCTAGGCTGGACGCACATGGGGTGAGGCTGCAAGGGGTTTCCGAGTCAGTGCCCCTCTCCGGGCAGGTAAGAGGTGCAGGCTGGAGAAGGGGTGCTGCCTTACTCAACCCCGAGTTTATAGGGACACAAAGAATGTCCCCACACAGCAAGAACCCAGGACAGCCTGTCAGCCGTGGCTGGCATCCCCACCCCGAGCCTGTGCCGCCTCCAAATCCTCCACCAGCTGAAGGCTCCCCAGCCACACTGCCTTCCAGCTCAGAAACATACCGTTGTTCAAGTTGAACAGAAAGCTGCACATGTATTTATCATACACCTTGCCTCTTCTGTCTGCTTCATCTTGAGAAATAATCTACAAAGCAAGCACAGGAAGAAATTGTGCTGGAGTGGTCATCAAGTCGGGCCTTCAGGAGCATCTGGGACCCCTGTCACCGCAGCCCATGGCTCTTCTCCACAGTCTGCGCGCAGGCGGAACGACTGCTGAAGCACTCCAAATCAGCTAGTTCCACACCTCAGGTACTTCTGCTTGGAGGAGGTCCTCTGGGTGATGACAGGATTCAGACATCAAACTAGCTTCAGAGTCCACTGAAGCTTGCCCTACGGTGCTCACCCTGACTTAACCAGTTGCTAACAGCACTGTCGTGTCTGCTTCGCTGTCCCTGGGCTGTAGACCACGGACAGGCCACACAGCCAAGCCCTACTCCTCCTGTCTCCAGGTGGTAAATGTGGCCAGAGCTGAAGCAGTTCAGGCACTCACCAAACCAAACCCACAAACGTGAGCAGGTCCGAGCCGAAAGCCACTTCGAATTACTTCACTTCGAATCTAATGCAACAGACTTCTCCGTGAAATCAACCCCAAACGGAGCAGTGCTACCAAGAGCACCACACGAGCACGGCCGAATAGCACGCCTCACCTCTCCGCAGTATTCCGAGATGAACTCATTTTTCTGTACAGGATCTTTGATAAAAATCCCCCAGCCTGCTACATCCGATGGTGCCAACAATAAATGCTAGAGAATAAAAGCAAATCGCACAATCAAAAAAAGGACAACGAAGACAGAAAACCCACGTTATCGTTGTAAACCTCAGCCCTGTCCTAGAGTAGCAACTCCGCGCCCTGAGCAGTGTGAACCAACTGCCAAACGCAGCTGGCAGACCGAGAAAAGAACGTCTTCGAACAGTACAGAGGCCGCTGCTGCTCAGATTCACCGGAGAGGCTGCCGCAGCGCGAGGACCCCGACTCCTCCCCACACTCCCCTGGGCTCCCCAGCCGCCTCCGCGTACTGGCGCACATCTGTGGGACGCGCTTGCTCCTTGCTGCTGTTCAGTCCTGCAGAGGCCCCACCATTTCTTTTGGATGTGTTCTCCCCTAGCGCTTCCGCAAGCCAGTATGCAAAGCTGCTGGCAGGCGGTATCCTCACTGCATCAGTCCTGTGTTCTACTTCGTTTAAAATAGGGTCTCAAGGCAGCCTCAAACTCCTACACCCGCCTGCCTCAGCCTTCACCACATTCTACTTTGAAAATAAAATGCCAAGATGACCCTCGGTGTCGATCCAGCCCAGGATTCATTCCCAAACACTAACTTCATCATGGCTCCTTATGCCTTCTACTCCCATCTTCCTGTGAGGCTGGGTATGGCGGCATACGCTCATGATCCCAGTGTTCAGGAGGCTAAGGCAAAGGATTCCACACTCAAATCCCATCTGGGCATCTTAGCAAGACCCTGGCTCCAAGAAGCGGGGAGGAGCGGGGTGTACAGCTCACCGGTACCTTGCCCTGGGTCAGTCCCCCCACACGCCTCTGATCACCGGGCATCTGGTCCACCCGCCTGGTCCAGCCTGCCTTCGATGGGGAAATGTCCCAAGTGAAAGAAACTCAGGTGGTAAACAGTATCTACATGAAATCCTGTCTGCTGAGGGTTATGTCAACGGAGTGTATATACCGGCACACACAAGCAGTACCACCCACATTCTGAGCAGGCTGAGGGGAGCCCTTCTAGTTCCAAACACAGGGTGAGGGGAGGACTGTGGAGTTTTGGGGCTGAGCATATGCACTGTGGAAACAGCCAGCATCATCGTAACCCAGACTAAGAAGAGAAAGACCCGTAAGCCGATCCGGGGGCATCCCTCCTGAGCAGAGACCCTGGCTCAAAGGCATAGAAGCTGGATGTTCTGCCTGGGTGAGACCTCTGGCAGTGGGGGGAACTTGATCACACCTTGAAGTGTCCCCCACCCCAGCCAGGCTGGACCACCCAGGTCTCACTTCCTCCTCCTGCACGGCCATGTCTTGTAACTTTAGGTTTCCTTATCCAAAACATGGACTGGCCTTCACTCCTAACTCCTGGGGTTATGAGGATTAATGGATTAATACACAGAGCATTAGAACAGGGCCTGCTGTATACGAAACACTAAGAAATGCCAGCTGTTATGACTAAAAGCCAGGTAGCGTTAAGGGAGGACCTATCATCTACACTAAAAAAGATACTAAATTTCTTCAGTCCTAACTGCTACTGAAAGTTTTGCTAATTCCTGACGTCTACATTTAAAACCACTCACATGCAGTTCCCATGCTTCAAATACTAATTCCCGGCTGAGCTGTTTAACTTGCCATGGGAAATTTCATCTTTACTATATATAGGAAAGGACCTAAAATTACTGTTGAATGAGGCTGAGTCTCTACATGCTGATAGAAACCGCACTGACTTGCATTAGGGAGCTCTGTGAGCTAAATTCTCTGACCAATGTGCTTTTTGTTTTAGTTTTTTGAGACCAGGTGTCCCTAAGTTGCCCAGACTGGCCTCAGCCTCCCATGCAGTCGGGATTAGAGTATGCCACAGTGCCTGGCTCAAATCACAGCTCAGCAAAGAAAAATGTTTATTCCAAATCTGGTTCCACTAACAGCAGCTCCTCTTACCTCCTCCCCAAGAGCAACTCCCCATTCTCTCCCATCAGCTGCACCATTTCGAGGCTCACGTTTGCCTCTGCCGCCCAGCTAACTGGTCTCCAGCTATCCAGACATGAAACGGCCAGCAAACCCTCTTCCCGGTGGGACTGCTGCTCACCTTTTTGGAGCCCCGCTGGATGCTACAGTTCTTGCAGGACACGTTTTTGCTGTCCCAGTGGTCCGCAGCTCCACACGTCAGGCAGAGGTCCGGGTCGCACTCGCGGACAGCTAGGTAGCATGGGCACTGCTTGGTGTTGCACTGTGCTTTGCAGCGGCATCCAGGAAAGCGGTTCTGACCTTCAGAGACATGGTCACTGTCACTACCCTGTCAGTCACTGTCACACACAACTCGCATAAAGGGCTGCAGCAACTGCTGTGCAGCGCACCTGACTGACACGCGCACACCCTCCATCCCAGAGGACACGGGGAAATGAAGGGCAGCGAGGCTCCGCGCCGCGCCGCGCTCTTGCCTTCCGCTGCCAGATGGCATCCGGGACTTAGAAGACAGGTGTGAAGGGACGACGTGGACCAAACATCGTCCATCCACGGCCTACACGTCTACAGTCGGCTACAGTCCCTCGCACTCTCTGCCACCTCATCTCATTTAAACGCTGCTCATTTAAGTAAAACAACTGAAAAAATCAAATCCTTTAATACGGAGTCTGCCTAAGGGGGGCATACATAATCATGCGGGAGGGCAACTGGACATGGGCACAGTGCGGCCGTGGGCTCGATGAATCCTTGCAGAACGAACACATTTCCTAGAGTAAGCAAAGGGAGCTCTTGTGTCTGCGTCTGGGGTGAAACCATCATTTTTCCACAGACCTATTTGGCTCTCACACAACTGCACGGAAGCAACAAATACTTACACTCTGAACTACATTGACAAAACTTTTCACAAAAATTTTGTGCTATCACACAAGGGCACGAACTGTCACAAGGCTGCCGTGGGTGGTCACAGGGTTGGTAGTTGTAAACATGGTTAGAGGAGCCATCTGAGTAAAGATAACAGCACACAGGCAATGAGCGCAGGGAGAGGGGAGCGGTCATCGCAGCAAACACGACGGTGCCCTCCCCGCCCCCTCCGAGCGCCTCCCCGTGCCTCCATCTCCACGCAGCCCTACGTGCACAACGAGGGCACGCACCGCCCCCCGCCCCCGACTGCGAGGGAACTCGGCCTCCACGCTCAGTCCCGCTTCCAAAGCCTCCTTCCTCTACTGCCTCTCACGGTCTCGCTCCACCCTGTCAGCTTCCACTTTCCAAAAGCACACTGACTAGAGGTTCATCAACACACATCTTCCATTAAAACTGGTTTGATGTACAGAAGTCAACTAAAGAATAACCCGAACTCCAGTCCAGTTACTGTTCTAAAATAAATGAGAACAAAGACATTTTGAAGCTAATAATGAAGTTGAATGGAAGATGCTAACCCTTTTTCAGTTGTATCTTTCTGCAGTGTGCAGCCCACAACCTGCAAAAACACAGAGAAAATAAAGTACAAACTTCTGTGTGAAGTTGGGGGTACAGTCACAACCAACAGCGGCTTAGCTGGCTTATCTGCGCCACGAACTGAGCAGTGCTGCGGAGCCCGGTGCCTCACGCTACGGGGCTCGCTCTCACCACGGGCCTCGGACCTGACCGCTCGCCGGCCGGGGTGGCTTCCAGGGGCCCCAGGCCTCCTGCGGCAGCAGGCGCACCTGCATGGAGCAGGCACCTTCTCTAACCATCTAACTGAACTGCATGGTCAGAAATAATTCAACCAAAACTTCAGACATACCAAGGAAAACTGTTCTAAGTACTTATCAAAGACACTGACGAAGTGTAATGTGAGCCTATATATTTCTGAAGCATAATCAAACTGTTCCCCTCACCCACACATCGGCTTCTTGTTTTAAAAAAGAAGGCTGGGGCAAGGGGAGTCCCTCATGATTTTCCTGGCCCTCCATTTAGAAATCCAATTGGCCTACTATGCTCGTCCCCATACCGCAAGCCTCGTGAAAGGTCACGCGCAGGCTTGGAGGAGGACTGCTCTCAGGGACACATACTCTGAGTGCGTAGCACACACCTAGGGAACTCGGGCTCTGAGAATAAAGGACACTGCTCAGACAGATCCAGAGCTCTCGGCAGGATCATCTTAGCTTCTCACAATAAACAGCTAATTTTTAGAGCAGTCACAGAGTCTTTACTGCAAATGCTACTAAATATGTACTTTTCTTGACCAAAATGCAGCATGATAACAGTAGTTTCTATGATTCATAATGCCACATTTACTGAAGCTGTTGTATTTCTACTGAGAAATACCAGCAACTGCCAGAAGAAACACGATGCCACAGCCCTACCTGTGTGGCCACTCAGCTTAAATAAGGGCTATTCTGAAAGGCCGAGGAGCAGCAGCGGACCTGCCCCGGAGAAAAGCCGCCATAGTGCTTCTGTGCACAGCTCCACTGCTTGCTTACCTGTGTTTCCTCTTTTTCTTTCTTGGAGGAGTGTCCACGTCCTCGGCAGGAGCAGGTGCTATGATGCTGGACTCTTTGACTCTAAACTCATACACCTGCCAAAAGGCAGAGGCAGAGGTGGCATCACAAGGACAGTCTGACTTCAAGGAGCCACCCCATGCTCGACACACCAAGCCAGTGTCTCCGTCCCCTTGACACTGTGGGTGCTGGGGTGCAGTAGAAATCACTGCCCACACTTATGTTCTGGTCAACAGCATTGATACCGAGCTCACTAGCTTTCCAAATCTACTATCCCCAATTTGACTATCTGAACTGAGCGACTTCTGCACCACAACTTAAGAATAATTTCTATTCAGTTCGGGAGGGAGGTGGGGATAATTCTTTTCAGAAGAACAGAAGCCTAATAATAACCAGGACTTTTCTTATGTTTGGACAGTAAGGACATATTATCTGCATATCTGACGCTGTTACAATATTCTTACCAGATATGCTCACCTGTCTGCACGTTTTGGTCCCAATCAACCTGGCAATAGCACAAAAATTATCGTAGTAAGTGCCGATGAGGACCCTAAACATCGAGGCTTCGGCACCGCTCCACTCCACATTCTCAGGAGGTTCAATATTTGGCTTCATCTTTATTGGGGTTTGACACCGAGAATTTGCTTCTACAAAACCAAATGTAAGCACTGGTTTATTACAAAATAAAATTCAGGGTGTGTTCAGGGAAAAAGGGGCCGGCTGGGTAGCTCAGTGGCACAAGTGCCTGCCTGGCAAGCAAAAAGTCCTGAGTTCCATTCCCGGTACCAAAAAAAGGAAGAAAAGGAAGAAAAAAGCATGTTAATCATGTTTTAGGTTAAAACTAAGGCTAAACACAATACCAATAAGACACCCCCCCCCGCAAATTATGAAGTTATGCATTCTTTAACCCAATCATCTAAAATGAACACAGACAGGGTCAGGCTATTACTATTCCTGGTGAAATTCATAGTAAAAGGGCAACCAAGTCCAACCAGTTTCCCAGCTCACCCACAGTTCTCCTATTCTCCCTAACCAAAGCTACGCAGAGGACGTCAAGAATATTAAAGCACACAGTGTGAACTTCACAATGCCCTGCCTGAGAAAAACGAAAGGGGAAAGAGAAGCACTAAGAGTGAGAATGAACGGGACCCACGGCCTCTCAGCACCGCACACACGTGAAGTAACGATTCAGACTGTTTACTGTACGGAGAAGTAACACTCGGGGAAAAACCGCCGATGCATCCCACACCCGATCCTCAAAATGAAAACTTTCGAGACAACAGCGAAGCCCAGGCCGAGGTGCGCCTTACCAGAGGAGCTAGAAGTCTCGTCCTTTTTCTCCTCCTCTTCCTTATCGTTGTTCTCCCCGCCAGTTTCAGTCCCGGCTTCTCTGTCGCTGTCGGTGTCCTTGGACTCCAGCACGTTGATGGTGGGGGTGCTGGGCCTGCTACTGTTGTTGGGGAGTCGGCCTCGCCTGCGGCCCCCAGGGCGCTTGGGCGGGGTCTTTATCCGCTCTGCAGTGAGGGCAGCAGCAAACTCCTTCGCTCCCTCCTATGAAATGAAAAACAAGACATCAGGGTAACGTTCTAAAACTCACTGTGGTGGGAGAAAAAAAGACACTGCATTTCTAAAAATACTTCTCACCCGCTTTTGATTGTTTGAAAATTTCAGAATAAATACGGGTTCAGTGTATCACAAGAGTAACACAAGATTAGGCAAGACAGTTCTATATGGTCCATTTGTGAAGTTAACTGGCTATAATTATGTAGTAAACCACATGTAATATAGTTCTCTCTCTACACACACATACACACTCACTCACTGTCTATTTAAAAGTGAATCTTTATAAGAAGAACCATACTAATGTGCATTGTCAGACTTCCTATTTCAAGGTTAAAGATAATGCATATTTCTTTACAGTAATGCTTAAAGTATGGAAGAACACAAAACATACAAACATGCATAGCTTCATCACTTCCTGTCCTACTATTAAAATATCAAGTAACTTTTTCCTGTGAAGGATGCATAACCACAGGAAGATACGAAAGGAACTTCAGGAACGAGCCTAAGGGTTACATTCGCATTCTGGACAATAATCCAGTCTCAGAAAATACAAAACAACGTTGAGAGAGCATGGTGTATAGAGAGACCATAGAAACATTTTAGATGAGCCAAATAAATTTCTGCCTTGTTAAAGCATATTATAAAATAGTGCTCGAGAATTCCATTTTTTAGTGGAAATAGAAGGGAGAAGTTTGAGAGCAGCCAACAGTCTTATACTTCATTCTATAAAAACCAAATTGCTTAAAAATAGGATACCTTCTGCAGGTGCCATTCAATGAATCTTCTGTCCAAAATCCAACAGGCAATATATACCCATTTAGTTCCTAGGTAGGAGTGGCTTGGTTCAAAGAGGGGAAATGGTAAAAATAAGATAGTACCCGTAAAAACAACTTTTCTACCTCATTATTTTCCTAAGCCCTTACCTTTTCTCCATCACTTTAAAGAAATCTGTGAGATCTCTACGGTATAGCTCAAACTACAGAGGTGTGTCTAATACTCCCTTCAGGAACCAGCTACGAGGAAAGCTTAAGAACTACAACCACATACAATTACTGCTGTCTATGTGGGCAAGCTGTGCTTCACACTCCCATAAACTCTGTGGAAAGGATAGGAGTCCTTGATCCTAAAGACCTTGAAACGCTGCTGCAGAGATAACACAGATAAAAAATACTACAAGATCAGTGAAGGGCTAAACTGTGCCGTATGTGAGCTACGGAAGAAACGTGGGCGTGAAAGCTGCCTGGTATCTGGCCAGTAGAGGCATGGGTACAGACAACGTTAACGCTGGCTTCGTCACCTCCAAAGTTCACCATTAAGGCTCCTCCAGACCCCTCCACAATAATAAAGCACTAGGTCTCACCAGGTGCTGGTAACACTGTGGTCCACAAGGCTTATTGTCCAGAGCTGTTTCTGTGTTTTTCCGCTTGTATGTATTGGGTGTTGCATGAAAGGCTGCAAAAGAAACACAAATTATCTGAATCTAACTATAAAAAAGAAGCTTTCTTTACTTCCACAGCTGCACTGGAAAAGTCGATTAATAGATTATAATCTTGCTAATAGGCAGTTTATGGTACTTTACACAACTTTCACCCAAGCGCTCACTAAAATATCACAAGGTATTTGCCATGTCTCCAACCCCTACGCAAGGAAGCAACACAGTATGCTCTGGAATACTGACTTTCCCTGCACAAATACGACTGTACCTAAACTATAATTACAAACATTTACTTAAATTGACCCAAATCCTCCACATAAGTAGTAGATATTCTAACATGAGATGTGATTTCCATTTTTATCAAGAAAATTCTGGCATCTACAGTTTCTTGATTTCTAAAGGTCAGCAATCAGTCCCACTGGTGAGCAGAATGAGACACCACTTCCTAAACTCACTGTTGAAGATAAAAAGGCCAGATCCGGATTACCAACAGTCCTCCTGAATTATATGCAACTCAAGAACCCAGAGAGGGCCAGAGCCTTCCTACAAGGAAGTAAAACGGTCGGATAAAGGGTTTTAGAAGGATGAAAGTGCCTGAAACTTAAGTTCCTAACTAGGGCAGTCAGACAGCCGATGACGGTCACAGGCGCACGGACGCGGCATGAGCATTGCACGGGGCAAACTTTGGCAATGCTGACCGAGTGCTGCCTCTCGTACCAAGGCAAACGCCTGACACAGCCGACTGGAATTACACAAGCTGAAAAGTAATTTGGGTTTAAAACAAGTGACATGTTCACACATCAAAGCATTTTTAAAATATTTATAGAAAGACAAGGTTAAGTTTCATAAAATGGGTATATAAAGGCAGATTGGTGAGGGAAGGAAGAAAAAAGACGAAACAATCTCTTTACGTGCTTATTTTTCTAGTGCTGGGGAACAAACCCAGGGCTTCGTGCACAGCAGGTAGCACTCCACCCCTCAACTACATCCCCAGCCCCAAAGTTAGGTTTTGAGAGTAGAAATTTAAGGCTGCTTCAAGCACACGAGTGCGTTTCTTCCAGAAAAACCACACTGTCTGTCTGATATCGCACTGGACTACATTCTGACCAGCTGAGCTTAAAACACAAAGCCTGAGGAGAGGGAGGTTACAGTCCTCTCACCGGCAAGGAACAACTCCAGCCTAAGATAAGAGACAAGCCCTTCACTAGCAAGAGCCAGGCACAAAGAGTGGGTAAAGGTCTGTGTTACCAGATGTGCTGCTCGTTCAACAGAGCGGCCCTGCCCTGCTGCCAGGAGTTCACAGGCACAGACGTGCATATGATCTCCACCTCGGAAGAGCCAAGGAGCCACAGCTGGCCCTGAGCTACAAGATGCCTCCATGAGAACCAGAGAACAGCGCTATGAGCCACACCATGCCGCCTAAAACAAGAAGAAGCCAAGTTGAAAAGGAAAAACCATGATAATCATCAAGAGATGTTTTGAAGAATTAGAAGGTGTCACTTTTAATTTCATATTTCAGTTAGCTAACACTAGAAAGAGAATTATCCTTATGACTAGATTTCCCTCAGAATTTGAAACTAATTCTCCAGGAAAACTACCTGTACAAAGAATTCCCTCTTCTAGAAATGTCAACTGCCTTAGATTTCCAGGAGATCAAACATAATTCTTCCAAACAGGCATCTCAGCATTCAAAATAACGTATCAGAATATACTTCAAACTAAATATAGGAAATTATATCTTTTCCAATTACAGGTGGGGATGTAGCTCAGGGATAGAGCACTTGCCTACTCTGCACAAAGTCCTGGATTCAATCCCAGAACCAGAGGGAAAACATGGCCGATCAGAAAAATCATGAGAAATTAAGGCAAGACTTCTTAAGTAGTACAAAAGAAGAGAACATGGACACTCAGGGTATTTTCATGCTAAATGCAACCTATAAAATCTTGGTAAGAACTACATCAAATTTTCAAGCAAAGGTTAAAATAGTACACAATTCCAGTTACACCAAATATGAAATCAAATTGGCAGCTCTAGAGAATGGCTGAAGTAGCCCCTTAGAACCTTGCAAACTTTCACCAAATTGTTACCTCGATACAGACCTGTGGGAGCAGAGGACTACAGGCCTAGAACAAGCTGGCAATCACCTATTTCCAGTGGTGACTTTAAACTCAGGAGGGAGGAACGAAGACTAATTTGCCTGCGTGTGCCTCACTTAGCACTCCTGTCACTACGCAAAGGGAGTAACCCACACCACTCCCATGTGCCTTTGTGATCACTATCACTGGCATCTACCCTCTCTGACACACTTCCTCAAGTGTGATACATAAATGATCTCAGATCAGTACAAAATGTCAGTTAAAGTACTGGTCACATCCACTCCAACAGAACTTGGTATTACCAATAAATTTTCATTGAGAAACTATAATATATCAATTCTTTTGTGTATAGACTTTTATAAAAAGAAGAATTTCACAAAATAATCCATGTCAATATCAGAGCACATGGACTGGCGATGTGGCGCACTGGTGTTCTTGCCTTGTATGCACAGGGCCCTGGTTCCATCCCCAGCACCAGACATCATCAGAACACAGGAAGATAGTGAGAGCAGCTGACCATAAATAATCCCACACTTGAAGTACACAGAGCCTGTCACAAGGCTTGGACATTACCAATTATTAACTCTATAATTAGTAGTATATCATTAACTGGCCCCATTGTACACAAGAGGAACACAGAGGTGTGAGGGCAGTTAAGAGCAGGTAAGTACACTGCTAACACAAACTCAAGCACTCCTGAACTAGTAACCATTATATACTTCAAAGTGTTAACCGTGTCAACCACGATCACAAACTCTAGAATAACTTCTCTGAAATTCTAGGCATCTGGGACAGTAAAACTTCTACAACTGCCATTAATACACATTCCAGAAAGAATATTAAAAATAGATTTTTATGTAATAGCAAAAAGGACAGCCTGCCAGGTGCGGTGAGGCTGGAGGATGACGGCCAGCCTGGGCAGCGCAGTGAGTTCCTGTCTCAAAAAGGGCGGGGTGTCACTCAGCGCAGCGCCCCTGCCTGGTGTGCACAAGGGCCTGCATTCAGATTCCAGCACTGCAGAGGAAAAAAAGAGACAACTAACTTTTTAAAAAACGGTTTTAACTTTGCCTGTGGAACTGACACAGACACCAGGGGAGGGACAGAAGACAAACTCCCTAAGCCCTTAACCTGCTACTTACTAAAAAACACGGCTTGTGTTTGCTTCTGAGGCAGTCAGAGCCTTAAAAGTGCTTTTTGCTCAACAGCAGTGACTTCTCTTGGACCTGCAGGTGCTCAATAGGTGACTGAAAGCAGAACAGAACTTAACTGTGTTTGGTCAAAGTTTTAGCAGTCTGTAGGGTGGTGAAATCCCTACCCAACGTGCGGAGGCTGGATCGCAAGGAGACTGACTCAGCTGTCAGGAAAGGGAAAGCCGCTCGCTCGCTCGCAGGGAAGCGGAAGCTGCTTGTACTCAAGTGCAGGGAATCTCTGCTTTTCTCTGTCCCACCCTCGCCAGTTAACTAATGAGATAATCAGCAAGTCCAGAATCCATCAAAATTATTTGTCTCTGAATAGCGCAAGAAAAGCACCCTTGGAATGAAGTTTAAAGGTACTACCCCACTTCTGTGCTTCTTCTACACACAAAAAAGGTATGTTGAATGCTACATCTGGAGGCAACAAACTGGAAGGACGCTTTCTGTGAATCCAAAATACAGCACTTAACGATTTTGCTCTAGCAACGTGGGAATGCAATTTGTAAATCTTTTGGGCAGTAATGAGGATGAATCTCAGAGGCACTCTACATCGCCAGCACTTTTTTTTATTTTGAGACAGTCTCACGGAGTGCCCAGGCTGGCCTTGTACTTACAATCCTCCTGCCTCAGTCTCCCAAGTACCCAGATAACAGTCACGTGCCACTATACCTGGTTATAATATTTTTATGGAAATTTGCCATATTTAACAAAATATGGTGTGCAAAAGGAAATAAAGTACAATATAGCTACTTCACTCTTTTATTTTTGATTCAAACTTACAACCTCGCACTTGCCCAGCAGGTACTGTGCCACTGAGCTATATTCCTGGCCCCCAATGCTGCTAGTTCAAAGGCTGTATGAAAATAATAAGGCCAGGCCCAAATAAGATACTTGCTAACTGTCCAACGGCTACAACAAATGAACCTATAGATTATTAAAACTGCCAAGTTGCTAAACTAAATAAGGAACGTGGTCAACAACAGCAGAGAGGGACACAGTAATCCTAAAATTCTACCTCAAGTTTTTCTAATTTAAGATACCTAAACCACTAGAATGTCTGTCTGTCTGTCTGTCTGTCTCTCTCTCTCTCTCTCTCTCTCTCTCTCACACACACACACACACACACACACTCTTAACATTTCCAGACCAAATAGCCAACAAACTACGAATGGCAACAAATACAAGTACATAGAGCAAACACTGAGAAGCGAGACAGAAATAGCTGAGTGGGAAAGTTTATTTGTATTAAGGACTTTGGATAAGGAGGGAGAAATCTGTAATAGGTTGCGAGAGGGGACACTCAAAAAGGCACAGCAACGTGGGCCCACAAAACAATGTGGGGAGAACAAGGCTACAAGGTCAAATGGCCCAGAGGTACAACAATGCAAAAGATAGGCACACTAAACTACAATACAGAAAAGGTTAAACTGTATCAAATAAACACCAGGAAAATTGGAGGTATGAAATACATTTTCAAAATACATGTCTCAAAAGCAGTTGATACTTATCCACACTACGCTTAAGTAAGTTCCAATTACCTGAAAATTTTACTAAGAAACTTTTTTTTCTATACATGTCATGGAGAAAATTAATACTGCATGTATCATACTTTAGATCCATTCAGAATATTTTGTTTTGTTTGAATTCAAGTGCATGTATTTATAAGACAACTTACACAGAGGGCCAGATATATAACAGAAAAAGGTTTAACAACAGAGAAGAATGTTTATATAAACATCTTTTAAGCCAATTTCTAACGCAAAAATAATGCATCAATATCCGCAGCCTTGCTGTGAGCTCTGAGCTAGTTCACAGTGACAGTTTCATGATGAAACAACTGCTCAGTTTGGCCTTTGTGCTGGAAACAGTGCTCCAGATTAAATGCATGCAGGCTTCGTAGCAATCCCCAAGCAACAAAGTAAAAATAACAATATTAGGATCCTAGCTTTTGTCCCAATCTTAACTGCAAGATTAAATGGTAAATTCTACTTGCAACAAATGACAACACTTTCTAAAATGCGTTAAGCCATAATTCCACAACAAAGATAGAAAATGAAAACGTACAATAATTGCACTTACGATGTAGGAAGCAGTCATATTTAAAACATCGCCGACAGAAAAGTGTATGAAATGAATGTAAACTCTGCTCCCTCTGCACAGACTTAGCGTTTGGTCCATCTATGTTGGGGGTACATTCGGGAGGAAGTGCACCTGGGAGCTGCTGCTCGGTGAGTTCTTTGTATCTGACATCAACCAAGAAAAGTGTAAGTAAGCCTGAAACCAAAGGGTTTTTGTTTTTTAAATGAAGTATCTAAAAGTTTTCCATGTTAATGTTTTATTTATCTTGCTTACAACACAAAAATATCTAACTTACAACAATCTTTAAAGAGTTAATTAAGTGCTATGCATGGTGTATCAAAATCAAATTCATTGATATGAAAAGATATGATTAGGGCTGGGAGTACAGCTCAGTGGCACAGTACCTGCCTGACAAGTGCAAGGTCCTGAGTTCAATTTCCAGCAAAAAAAATTAAAAAATAAAAAAAAAAAAGAAAAGATATGATTATATTAATTTTGACTCAACACCAACTGTACTGAAATTGCAACCAGGACCCAGAGACGTTTTCCTGTAATGTACAACTATAAATTTTGTGCGTGCGTACATATGTGTGTGTGATATATGCATGTATTTCTCTCCGATAAATGCCTTGCGCTGCGGAGCACTGCTCATACATGCGCACTGTCTGAAGTATCCTGTCACACTATAAACGAAAGGTGGCTCATCAGACACAGCAGATCCACCTGGAATGAACCAGAATGATGCTTACACACCACACAAGGCAAGATGCCTCAAAAGGACAAATCTTACTTTTCCTTTAGTTCTTCTGCTGTGCCCTTATCTGGAAACATTGAGGAAATAGCTTCAAAAATTTTATCAGAAGGAAATTTCCGAGGTGGGCAGCTTTCTTTACCTAAAAAGGTAAATATGAAAGGGGAAAAAAGCGTGGAAGTAAATAAGTTTTCAATCTTTCATTTCCTCCCCACAACAGTGTCCCACTAACAGAAACTTTTCTAAGAAATCGTCAACTCTGCGGTCCACCTACTTCTAAGGTATTTTACATCTGTCTGTAGAGTACTCGTGGGTCAGACACAAACTCAAGTATGCACAGTTTTCAGAGCACTGGGAAACAGCACGCTAGGTTCTAATCCCAGGTCTCTTGCTAACTGGCTGCGCGATGGGGCTAGTCCCTGAGCTTCTCGGTTCTATTTCCTAACCTATGACAAAGAGTTGAACTAGAGGATCACTAAGGTGCCTGTTATGAAAACGTTATGCTTCTTTGAAACTGCAATTTGCCCCCAAACTCTGCCATGCTGCCTCAACATGAGTCTTGGCCAACAGAGACCACCAGCTCTGGGCTGTTTCCTGGGTAGCCACAACTAGTGCAGGGTTGAAAAGTGTGACTCCCGAGAGTCAGGCCCGCACTGTCATCACAGGGTTCAGGGCTCTGCTTCTTCCCAATGGTGCTGTCACAGATAAGCTGCTCAGCCTCTCTAAGCCCATCGTAAGTATACAGTGGTCTGGTGATACTATCTACATGTGGTGCTATGAGGAAGGTTAAGTTAGCTGCTGCATACCAAGTGTTCAGCATGCAATTTGTACACAGTGATCAATGTTATATATTATCAAAATGGTGATTAAGATGACTGTCCAGTTAGGTCTCAACAGTGATTATGCTCTTTTGCTAGAGAAAGAAACCAAGATGCTCAAGTGTAAGACGAAATGCTGCAAATAATATCCTAATTTTAATTATACTACTATCAACGTGATGGTACAAAGAGGCACTATCTCTACCTTTTTTTGGAAAGAATGCTATAATGGCTACACAAAAACCTAGTTACCAGACATACCATCTCGACTATCCTCTAGATCCTTCTGCTTTTCTTCTCCTTCATCGGGATCATCTCCATCATCATCATCATCATCATCATTGTATTGACCAAGAGCATTCACTAACTCCACAAAAATTTCATCGTTTATAAACCCACACTCTGAAATTCATCAAGCCAATGTTAGAACCACACAGGGGAAAAGTGGCAATGATCCAAGTCTGTGAATGTCTTTTTTAACTCAGAAGAAACCATGGCCTAGCAGCTAGAACTGCACAGCACTGGCACTGCAACTGGGATCATTTTCAGGACCAGCCCGCAGTGAAGCTGGAAAGCAGACTGTTTTCACAATCTGTCCCTCTCTCCCGCATCACACCTCCTGAGGCTTCCAGCGACCAGCCGGCTCTCTAGGAACTAACTATGGCTCTGGCCTCCTCAAGAACAGCCATGTCTCTGGGGCCAATCACTTGAGACCTGGCTTCCATGATGAAAATGGACCTCGAAGACCAGGACACAAAAACAGCCTCCCGGGCACAAACCCTGGAACAGCGACAAAGGACCAATCATCAGGTGCTTTGGCAGCCTCTCAGCAAAGGCGCTTCTGCCCAGGAGGCTTCCTGGAGCCAACCTGCCACATTACCAGGGCCCTAATCCTAATTCATTTTACATTATTGAATCTTAAAATCTACACACCCAACTTCTGTGGAACTTACATATGAATGCCATTATAATTTATCTCATAATCAACTATGAATAATTATCAAGTGAAAAAAAGGAATCTCCTACTTAAACAGGGAAAACACTGAAAATTTTAGTCTTATGAAGCCGGACTGGTACTTTATGGTCTTCAAAAATAGTTTATTATTTAAAACAGGTTTTCATATCCTATGTTAATAAACCACAGTATCTGTCAATTCTTTAGCCTGTTCTCAAGAGAATAAACATACTGTTTACCTCTATCTCCATGGACTTTGCCATCATAATTTTTTATTAGTTCCTCAATGAAAGTGCCATCCTGGTCTAGAACTTCATCCCCCATGTAAGGAATGTTATGTAAAACAGTTTCATCTTCTACCTAAAAGTAAAAATATATACACATATACATATGTATTTTTTAAATCCATTTATCCTAAGAATTAAACTATTCTTAAAAATTCAATATGAGATAACTAAAATTAATAAATTTTTCTCATTAAGTAGAAGACTTTTACCCAGACTTAAAACTCTACTCAGACAGCAAACTACGTTGATTGGCAAAAGTAAAAATGTTTGACGTGTTATCAGCTCTACCTCTAAGAAAGGAAAAATGAACAACTATAATGTGCCGATGACAACAGGTATCACTTTTAAGGCACATTCCTATTTCAGATGTTAAAATGGGAGCATGCAGTTTATCCAAACCAAGTACAGTCAAGCCTAGTAGCATGCACCTGGCACCCCAGCACTCAGGGAGCCTCAGACAGGAGGATCACAAGCTCAAGCCCAGCCTAGACAGACTTAGCAAGACACTGTCTCAAAATAGAAGAATGAGAATGGAGCTCAGTGTGAAGACCCTGGGTTCAAACTCCAGTAATGGGGACGGGGTACCCACAACTTTAAGTACCCATACCAAACAATAACCGTAAGTAAAGATCTCTAAACTTCACTGAATGGTCTATCTATGTGTAATACAATTTTAAGGTTGTAAAACAGAAATCAATGCTCCATTAAAGTTTATGCCAAAAGGACTTCCACACCTGTAAAACACAGACATCCTACAAAACAGAAAATACGTCACTGCTGCAATGGATGAGATGCATCCCAAAGTTACCGTGCTAACAGAGATGACTGAGGAGTCTCCCTTGAGGACTGGGAGACAAAAGAAAAGAGTGCTGATCTACAGGAAGAGCCGGCAGAAGTAAAGTTTAGAGAGGATGGAGAACTGAGGAACATGAAGCAAGCTGACGTTCTCGAGGGACAGCTGTCAGTAAAGAATAAAAAGGGCAATAACTGTCAACACCCAGCAGACGGAGGCTGTGTAAAGAGACTTCACTGAAAGCGAGGGCAGTTCTAAGTCCTAAGAGCCCCATGCGCAGGGTATCGGTTACAAAAAAGTTGTAGAAAGATAAAGCAGAACAGGCTGGCTACAACAGACTAGAGGAAGAGGTTAGCCATTTCAAGCAGGGGATGGCACAGCTGTGACCACAGTTAACAAGGAAGAGCACACTGGACAAGACCATGACACACACTGGAGGAGACAAGAAATCCTAGGTAACATGTTCTGGACACCTGCAGCGTTCATAAAGACAACAGCACTTACACAGACAAGGGGTAAGAAAACTGGGACAAAAGGAGGAAGATATAAAATACAAGCTGAGCCAGGTGTGGTGGTGCACACCTATAATCACAGCACTTGGGAGGCTGAGGCAGGAGGACCACCATGAGTTCAAGGCCTGCCTGGGCTACCCAGTGAGTTAAGGACATCCTGAACTGCACAGCAAGACCCTGTCTCAAAAATCAGAAACAGGTAAATAAAATGCAAGGTGTAACCTTAACGCACTCTTCTATTCAGATCCAACCTTATGTACGTACCAGGATTCTCCTGTCCTCTCACTTGCACAGGTCCCTCTGAGGAGCTAGGAGCCCTCCTTACTAGATGGCACAGGGCTCTTCCGTCTTCCCACTGTCCCCAAGCCTAACCCGAGCTCCCCAAAGTATAACCAAACAATAGTGTCTGCCTCATTTGCTCTGGTCAGAGACCAGAAAAACCTAGGGATAAGTCATAAGCAGTATTCACTGCAACTTTACGAATTATATTCTTTCTGAATTTGTCTCTGAAAATAGGAAACCCTCCTTGAGGTTCTGCAATATGATTCTAAAAGCTAAATGTTCTTTAATAAAGTTGTAAATGTACAAAGGTATTCAACTACAAAGAGTAACTGACATTTACCTTTAACCCTCCACTATGAGAGAAAAGTCACTAAAAAAAAAAAAAAAAAAAAGAGAGAGAGAGAGAAAAGTCACTAAAATGAAATATATATATATTCTTAAACCAGGCATAGTGGCACATGCCTATAACCCCAGCATTCAGGAGGCTGAGGCAGGGGGCTGTCTATGAGTTTGAGTCTGGGCTACATAGTAAGTTAAAGGCCACCCTGAACTAAACAGTTAAAAGAGCGGGGGAATGTTTAGTAAACAATTCTCTAAAGCAGGTTCACCAAGGACTTCCCTCAATATTTTATAAGCATTCTTACTTTACATATCAAGTGAATGGTAAAACTATGTATTTTTATTTTAAAATCAAAAATGCACACTTGAAGCCAGGCATGGTAGCACATGCCTATAATCCCAGGACTTGGGGGCTGATGAAGGAGGATCACTGCAAGTTCAAGGCCTGCCTGGGCTACATAGGGAGACCCTGTCTCCCCCAAAAACAAAAACAAAAAAATAGGCTGAGGCAGGAGGATCCCAAATTCAAAGTCAGTCTAGGCTATACATAGCAAGACTCTGTCTCAAAAAAAAAAAAACAAAAAACTGCACATCTGAGTTTCTCTTCTGTTCTACCTCCATCATCCTACTTCTTTTTTTTTTTTTTTTTTTGGTTTTGGTTTTTCTCCGGTACCGGGAATCGAACTCACGACCTTGCACTTGCCAGGCAGGCGCTTTTGCCGCTGAGCTAAATCCCCAGCCCCCATCCTACTTCTATAAAGAGTTAAGTACCAGTATTTTATTCCAAAGCTGGCTGGTGCTATCTGTGGGAACATGTTTGAGCTCGTGTTAGTAAGTCCTGAGAACACTGCCTAGTAAATACTATCACTTTTTAACATGCTGCCTAAAACTGTTTTAAATCAGTTCTCAATTAACAAAAACAAAAAGTCAGGCTAAGATGATAGGAAACTGAGTGACCTCTTCACAGACAAGAACTGTAAGCTTCTTTTACAAGTGTTTCATCCTAGGTAAGGTCTTTATTTAGCACTTTTCCTCTGGAGAACGGAGGGAAAAAAACACCCTAGGCTTTTGTAAATAACCTATTTTTCTCATATAAAGTAAGTTATCAGATAAGCAGAAGACACATTACTTACATACCATAAAATTCTGTTGGAGGGGAGACCAAGAATACATTATGGGAACCGAGGCGACGGCATTCAGGGTCTTCAATGGGATGACTTGTGTTGGAAAATCCAAGTCACTGGTCACCGAACACTAAAACAGGGAAAATAAAATTGACTTCTATGAATAAAAGGGCGACCTTAAGCCGTGGCCATCAAATTGTGAAGAAATGCTGCCTACTTAAATAAGTTTGAAAAATATTTATTCACCTGAGACTGTAAAATTAACAAAAATTTTTTAAAATCCTCTTCTCTCTCCTTTTTAATAAGGGCGAAAAAATTCTTCAGAATTCTTCTGCAAGTTTTCAAAACCCTCATCCCTCTCATACTTACCAGTAAGAATCAAGGACACGACTCCGTCAGTTTCAGCACTTGGATCCACCGCTTCAGGCTTCACTACAAAGTGCCCACCTCTGCTTCAATCACAACAGCCCAACCACACAGAACAGCCCTGCGTATGCACTTCATCTTAATGAGAGAAGCTGTCATGTTAGCCTTCTTTAGCTTTATCTTCCCTTTTAGAACACCTGAGTGTCATCGCTGACATCCAATGATACACAAACATTAACAATAGACTGGAGTTCCAATCACAACCAAGTATTCGCATCAACTGTGCACAACTATAATCCTCAGCATTTTTCATGTGCCAGGCACTATTCTCAACACATTACAGGCCTTATCATAGTCCTCCTCACAACACTGTAAAGTGGGTACAGTTCTTAGCTCACTTTGTAGGTGAGAAAACTAAAAAAATAAGGGACTTGTTCGGGGTCATCTGATAAGGCCATAATTAACCCCGAAAGTCTGACTCTAGAGCCCCAGCTCTTACCCGTTATACATACTGCCAGGATCCCATACCTCCAAAATGTTTACGTGCACATGGCCCTTGAAATACTGTATTTCATACAAAGTGGATGATACTGACTTCAAGGTACATCTCTTCTTCCATGTCACTTAAGAAAAAACATTACCCATTAAACTATGACATAATGCTCTCTTATCACAGTGATTTTAAGAAGGATGTTCGTTTTAGTTGTTAACATTTTTGATTCTATGAAATATGGTAAAAATTCTGTACCCAAACATCCACAGGACTTTCTATCCTGTTTAGGAATCCAGCTTTTTTTCTCTGAGTACCATTTCCCAATTATCAGCTGTCCAGAACCCTTTCAAAAATACCTTAGGCATATATTCGTCATCTACACTCAATGAAAACAGAGCAAAAAGAACCAAGTAAAATTGAAAAAATCATATATATTTGTTATCTACAAACATACACATATATATACTTGTTTAATGCTTAACTTTTGAGATGACCTAAAAATAACAGGACTAGGACAGTGTGAGCAGAGTGGGAGCCCTTGGCCACACCCAGCCCTGACCGCTGCCCCAGGACAGTGGGTGAATCCCAATCATCACAGCCACTGCCACACACCAATAACCCCTTCCTTAGGGAAGTGAAGGGTAGAATATAGAGTAGATAGGAAGAATTGTGACAGTGACCATTAATTTGCTTTGAAAAAGGCAAAGATAAAGATAATACTAGAAACCTCACAGTCCAAGTAAATAAGAAGGTGTGAACAGTTTACTAACACTCCAGAACCCAAAGTCTTTTCCTTTTCTTTCTTTGGCCGCCAATGATTCTCCATCCATCCATCCAATAATCAATAATAACAGCAGTTAACATTTATTGAGCACTTACTATGTTGGAGGCACTGTGCTAAGTGCTAAGAGATAGGCATGATCTCAAGTATTCCTCTTGGACGACCTTACGACATAGCTTTAGCATCACACTCCCATAAATGAGAAGACTGAGGTTTAGAGAATAATACACCTACTCAGAAGGGCAATAAATTACAAAGCGAGAATCACAGCCTAAGCCTAAATGCAACACCCAAGAGTGTAGTTAGTGTACTGTGGTTCCCACCCATGAGCAGCTCACAGGGCAAAATCACAATGATACCCCCGCACCTTCTGTGTAAAACAGAAACCTGATGGCACCGCAAGGGGATCTCCCCTGTCAGCTCTCTCCTCCTGATCCTTCCAGTACCGCACCTTCTTTCCTTCTTTCTACTTAACCGGGTAAATCTGAGGGTGAGGAGTGGTTGTAACTACTGAGTGAAGTATTAGATACCATCTAGTAATTCCAAATACAAAGTACAGTAATGCCTCGGTTCACAAACCCTTCTGTTTGCAAACAGCTCCCTTAGCAAATAAAAGTGCTTGATAAAATTTTGTTTCTGTTTGCAAACTCCACACTGGGTGATAAATCACCACAGCCATCTTCCCCACACAAACACAAACAGCTAGCTTCTCCCAAATCATAAAATAAATTAAGTTCATAAACCGAAGTACCACTGTAATTTTCATTTCTTAAGTGTTGGTTTCCGTTTTATAGTTGGTGGGATAAACTGTAACTTTAACTGTGCAGGTAAACTGCCTTTAAGCTTAGAGGGAGAAGGGTGTCTCTCCAACTCTTGACTTACCTGCTTTTAACATCCTAACCCAAAGCCACACCTAAAGTCAGATAGTTCAGTTTTCTTTTCAACCCCTAGATAGAAGGGAGACTGGCTTTCCTTGTTTGTGTTTGCTGTGACAGTGCAGAAAATGCTCTGGGTACCCTGAATGAAGCCACCTGGGTTCTCCATCAACAGAACTCAACAGGCAAAGAAAACGAGGAGGCATGGGCGGTGGTACTGAGCACTACTTCCATCCCACACCTGTCACCCTCCAGGACCCCATCCTCTCAACTCCAATTCAAATTACCAAGGGTAGGAAAGAAGCCCCCTGAGGGCAAGAGCAGCAGAGGCCAAGTGTGGCTTCAACTCTCTTCAAATAATACCCTGTAGCACAGTGTCTCGGAAAAAAAGTAGGCACTCAAAAAATGTTTCTGGAATCAATAGGCTGCATTTGCTGGTACTCCCTGGCGGAGACTTCAGCTTCGACTCGTGCAAAGCTCCAAGAGGAGACGCGTGGAAACCGTGGCCATCCGCCTCACGCTTTATTAACCACAGTGCTAACACACCCCTCTCACCTACGAGATCAGACTTAAGTACAGCGGCACTTGCTGGTAAAACAAGTTTGGGAGTTCTTATATATCGACTTACAGGAAAATTACTCAAAAATCCTAGTTACTTACCAGCAACTTTCATTTTCTTTGAAAATGTATCATCCTTGACAGTTTATGTAATTTAAGTCTCATATCACTGACGGTAGTGTAAAAAATTTTACCTCCTGGGTCTCCACAGCATTTTACCTGATCAGAGCCAAGTGTCCTGGACTCCGAAGTCACCAGGAGGCCTGTATCAGCAAATTACATTCTCTAATTCTATTCCAATTTGAGGACCACACAAGGAAGTTAGTACACAGGATTCAGTAACAATGGTAAAGAAAGGGAAAATCTAGTTACCAAGGATGCTACATTTTCAGAGAAACGCCACTTACTGGTAAGTAACCAAGTTCCTCTGAGGATGGATAGACTTACATCAACCAGCTGGTACAATAGGCGACTGTGTGGCTGGACCACTGTGTGGCTGGAGAGGGAAGTCAAGCCAAAAATAGTAGTTGGAGAAGTACACAACCAAACTGAGACTCTTGGCAGAAGGCTGGTTCCAAGTAAAAACTTATGGAAAACCGTAGAGGGAAGAGCAGGTGAATGGCCTGCAGGGAAGGGAAAGAAATTAACACACCTACTATGTGCCACGCACTGTGCTAGACTATACCACAGTTAACTTCTTTAAAATTCAAACTATCCTGCCAGGTGGATATGATTCCTCATTTCAGGGAAGGGTACCCCCAAGGACAACAGCCACAGCCATCCTGCCATGAACAGTTTTTTAACACAAGACGGTTAAGCCCAACTTCTGACAGCCACGTAAAAATTATTCTTGGATACTGGCTGGTCCATTGAAGCCATGCTGGAGACACAGGAACTGCTGACTTGCCCAACGCCCTTCAGCATTTCCACTAGAACACAGTGAGGAAGGTGCAGTCGTCCCCCAGGACAGCAAGGTCAGGAGAAAGGATCGGCTGCCATCAACTCTACAGAAAGGCCGAAGCTTTCTCCGACTACATCATATGCTTTCTTGAAGCTCTGAGGAAACATAACACACCCAGCCCTTTTAGCTAGCTCTTTCAGTGAAATGGTAGTGTATATAATTTAAATTTCAGGTAAAGGAAGTACTGTAGAAAAAAATTGGAATGAGATAAATATTAAGATTTGGCTAAATGAGCTCAATACTACAAGTGAGTTCATAACCAGATTTAGAAACCAAAAAATGACGTAACTGCAGGAGATATTCTTGAAAAACAATGTGTTTCAGATGGGAGAGAGACAAGAAAAAACCATTAAGATCTTACAAGATGTATTTAATGAGAGCAGCTAATCAAGGGTGCTGCCATTAAGCACTAAGAGTGACTCATCCCAGCTTATAAATTCCTTCAGTTTTTGTTGTTAAACATTTGTCACGAGCCACTCCAGATTGGAGGAAACCTCTACCCTGTGACAAGGCTGTCTGCTTCCCAGTCTGTCTGCTTTTATCTCGCAAGTGTCAGTGCTTACACCTCTTCCTGGAGGGACACAGCATTTCACACAGAATACAGAGCATGTGGAGTACAACGCCAGAACCACAGGCCCTTAACATCTATCTGGTCCTGAGTAAGAAGGATCATAAACACACAAAACCAGAGAGCCCTAGGTTAAAGCCACGGCAGTCAAGGTCTGACAGGGTGCTGCTGAGAGCAAACCATCCCTTCATTATCTGCACTTCTGCTAAAAACGCCAGTTTTGCTAAAATGTTAGAGATCAGAAACACAGCAACAGTCACAGGACATATGCTGGTAAAACTACAGAACAGTCACAAAAGGCACATACATGAAGCAGGGAACAAGCCACATTCACCCATAACATGCCAAATCAAATAGCTAATGCAAGAATGGCCCCGTATACACAAAGAAAAAATTGCTGTCAGTAGGGGAAAAAAAACTAAGAAATGGAACACAGTACTACAAGTTTATGGTTTCCATAAGCTGCTGCAGCAAAACTATTTTGAAGCCTTGCTTAAACGAAAAGGAAAAGCAGCACTAGCAACCAAT